CTCACACTCAAACATGCTGTGGATGTAGTTCAATTGGAGAGTGCTTGCTTAGCATGGGCAAGGCCCTGGGTCTGATCTCCAGCACCACAAAAGCAAAATGTCAAACACAGCAAAGCCACAGGAAGAACAAGCTTGTTTCTTCTTCCTCCCTCCATCAGACTTGTCCCTTCCTTAGATGACCTGTACTCCTCCTTACTACTCATGCCACACCCATGTCCTCAGTTTGCAGATGGTCCTATTTTTCTATATATTAAAGGTAAGGTTCATGCTCCCCAGTATAGGCTGCAGTAACCAGGAAATACATTACTTTATATCTCTTTTCAAGTTTGGTACAAAGTAAGTTTCAGTAAGTATCATTCGCATTGGGCGAATTTTTGAGTAATCAGATAAGAAGATGAAGAACTATGACTCCTGTTTATCTGATGAACTTTCAGAGGAGTTACATGGTGGGCCATATGGGGTAGTCCGTGGGAGACGTGAGTTAGAACTCCGGCCTGCTTCCAATGTACTTATCTTTCTACCATACTAGACCCAGCCCAAATGTGCACACCTTAAAGATAAAAACCAAGAGGAAATACTGATTAGATGCTCATTCCTTCAACATGCACTTGCAGACGGCCAGAACCACAGACAACAGAAGACATAGGCTCTGGCCATGTCCATGGGAGAAACAGAAAAGTGCATCTGCTCCAGGCGTTGGTGGCGCACGCATGCCTTTAATCCCAGCACTCGGGAGGCAGAGGAAGGCAGATCTCTGTGAGTTCGAGACCAGCCTGGTCTACAAGAGCTAGTTCCAGGACAGACTCCAAAGCCACAGAGAAACCCTGTCTCGAAAACAAAACAAAAAAACAAACAAACAAAAAAAAAAGTGCATCTGCTAAATCCCATAGGGAGTAGAAACCATGTGGCGAATACTGTGCCTCTCCCTTCACATTTTCATACCGTCTATGAGCCACCTAAGGTACTCCTGCTCTCAAGACATGCTTACATCACTGGTAACTGCCATCAAGATCTCTCAAGGGACTTTGGGAAGGTCCCTAGGACAAGAATCCAGCTCTCAGGGACACATCAAGGAACTCACCCGCGATAGCAGCTGCAGTTTCGACTTGAACATGGTTCATAATTCTCCAAAGCCCTGTTAATTTGGTCAATAAATACTTTCCATTTTGAGCCTTCAAAAAGTGAAGGAAATGAGAATTAACAAAATACCCTTGGCATTCGTATTTGTACACAGCAGGCAGAAGCAACAGAAGACCAACACTTGCAGAAATCCCCTTCCTTTCCCAGTAGTGGAAACGAAATGCCAAGAAGGATTCTTTGTGTAACTTGTCGGGGCTTGAGTCAAGTCTGCTCCTCTACCTGGGCCATCAGGTATCTAAGAAATTGGAAAAGTCAAAAGCTTAATGTTCGGCCTTAAACGGCTATGGATGCAGTGGATTTCGACACGGATTCTCACCTAATCAAATTGAGCCCCATCGAGAGAACCAATGCAGAGTCTTGGACATAACCCTCCCTCATCAGTTCTGTCAAAACAGCTAGTCAGCTAGGAGTTTCCCGCTCATAAGGTATTCTAGGGAAGCGTAGAACAGTCTTCTCCGAAAAACAGGACGTCCCTCTCTCCCTACCAGCCCCATCTCCGGAAGATGGGGGTCCAGGGCTAGAAGCAGAGGCCCAGACACTTCTGCTCGCCCCCGCCCACTGCCGGCCGCCCAACTCGCGCTGCAGCCACACAGCATCCTCCGCGCGCCAGGGCCCTAGCAAGCACCTCGGGAT